GCCTTCTCACATGTCCACGATTGTTTTTCTATAAACAAGCACATGGCAAGATGCTCAACATCATTAGTCATTAGAGAAATACAAATTAAAACCATAAGGAGATGCCAGTTCACACTCAGGAATGGCTGCTAAAAATTAAAAAGAGGAAAATAAATGTTGCAACACATGTTGCAACTCTGTGGAGAAATTGGAACCCTTGTACCTTGCTGGTGGGGATGTCAAATGATTCAGCCGCTGTGGGAAAGAGTTTGGCTGTTCCCCAGAAAGTTAGCGGTAGCATCGTCACATGACCCGGCAATTCCACTTCTAAATAGAAACCCAGAAGACGTAAGAACAGGCACTCAAGTCCTCGATCCAAAACGTTCAGAGCAGCCCTTCTCACAATAGCCAGGAGGGAGAAACCAGCTGAGCGCCCTTCAGAGGACGAATGGGTAAACAAGTTGTAGTTATACAATGGGACATTACTTAGCCATAAAAAGAAACAAAGTAACAATGTGTGCTACAGTACCCCTGGACCTCCGAAACCCTGTGCTAAGGAAAAGCCAGCACAAAGGCCCGAAGTTGTACAATTCTACTTGTATAAAATATCCAGAAGAGGTAAATCCAAAAGTTGCTTTTCTATAGCCTTGATACTTGAGGGATAGCTGAGTTGGCTGGAGAAAAAAAAACTCTTCAGTTTACATTGTGAGTTTTTTGATAAGAAGATTTCACTGCTGTTTGTTGTTCACGGGGCTGCTCTTGAGAAATCAAATGCCAACCAGATTTTCCTTGTAAATAAGCTTTTTTTTTTTTTTTGGCTTGGAGGACCAGAGGATCATTTTTTAAAGTTTAATATCTAGTTGTTTTATTGCTTCAAACAACTAGAATATGCTTAAAAAGTTCACCATTTTCAAACAATATTCCTTTCAGGTGGCCCTTTCAATATAGAGATTCATGCCTTCTTTTACTGCAGAAAAGGTTTCTTCAATCATTGCTTTATATATTAGTGCTCTTTCATTGTTTTGTGTTTCTCTTCAACATCTCTAATTACACTTAGTTCACCTGTTATAGCTGCCATTGTTCTCACCAATTCTTTCCACCTCTTCCTTTAATATTATTTTCTTGGCTCCTTTCATTTTATTCACTACCTGTTTAGTCTACTCTCAGTAGGTACTTACCTACTTTCTTTCCTCGTAGATACTTACCATTTAGCTATTTCAAGATGAAGTTTTTTTTTCTTTTTAGATTTCTCTCCTGACATCACCTCCTTGTCAATTTCTATTTTGAGTTTTACATTTCTGACCTGTGCCCCCCCCATCTGCAACTGCTTATTTAACTGTAGTTCACTCACGTGGGAATAGTGTAGTCCATTTTCTTTTGCATCGGAGCCGGTTTTCTTTGTCTTCTGGAGTTTGCCATCCACTGAAAACTCATTGCACTTTCACAAAATTTGAAGCGCATCCTGAATTCAGGAAAGTAAACAGCCGATAACCCAACGCTTCACTGCCCCCCCCCAATGTTGAAAGGCCACCGTCCAGACTGTCACGTGCCAGGCTCTCTCACAAGACCACTGACGGTCAGGAGTGTCACCCCGTCTGCCATCACACTAGTGAGTGACGCCGTTTCGGAGTGTCACCCTGATGTTCCGTTTCCTAGGGCCGCTCCCAGTGTCTGTTCCGCCGGGGCTCCCCAGGGCTTGGCCAGCCGGGAACGAGGGCCTGCAGGCAGGCAGGCAGTTTATCTGGGAAAGGACCCGAGAGACAGGAGGGGGGGCTGGCAGGAGTCAGACGTCCGAGGAGGAGGCCAGGGCACACTTGCGTTAGCAGGCTGATCTGCCAGTGACGGGGCTTATGTCTGCTGGAACCCCAGGGCCTTGGCCTCTGGCTCGTCAGCAGAGGAGACTGGTTCCTGGCTCCCACGAGGCAAGAGTCCCCCTGGGGTGTTTACTTCCAAGTTTATGAATGGAAGATAAAGAGGCAGGAGTGAGGCAGGGCCCAAGGGGTGTTTTGTGCTATTTCCCACTGGCTTCCACTGTTTCAGTTAAGGACTCAGCCGTCAGCGCTGACTTTGGCTCCTGACTGCTGATAAGACTTTCTTGTTGTCTTTGGGTTTCCCTGGTTCTCTGATGTGCTTTGAGTGACTTCGTGTTTGTCCACCGTGGGCATATTGGACTGAGTCATTCTCAGACCTACGCCCGATGTGTATTCTGGGAAATTCTTAGCCGTTCTCCTTTGTGATTCTAATTGATTCTAATTCCTTTTTCTGTTCTCCGATTCTAAGTATAATTTCCCACACAATCCCATGTCTTTTAAATCTCCCCACCTTTTTTTTTTTTTTACTATTTCTCATTCTTTTTCCATGCATCAGAATAAATATCATCTTGACCTTTTTTAGTTTCATCTTAAACTGTGTCTGATTTGCTGCTAGAACCACGTGGTGAATCTTAATTCCACACTCATGAAAGTTCCACTTGGTTCTTTGTAAACGATGTCCAATGCCATGTCAAATTCCTTAACACTGCCCTTGAACTATGAGCACACTGAGTAATGTTCTGAAGCCCACAGGTGACAGCTGCATCATCCGAATGGTTCATTTCCCCCCTCCTCTGGGCCTTCAGCCTTCAGGTGCTCTCATCTCCTGCTGTGCCCAGTCAGTCCAGACGTGCACCCAGGCCTGGGAAAGCCCTGGGCAGCTTCTGAGCCGTGACCCCTGCCCTCCAGCTGGCAGACGCCCCTGTCATGCCTGGCCCACACTCAGGGCTGTCCTCTGTCCCCAGACTGAATGTATAGTGTGTGTGTGTGCGCACACACAATCAGCTTTTCTGTTTGTTCTTAATGAAAAGGGTCGTCCGAACTATTAACCTTCACCATTATTAAAGTTGACCTCCATCCTTGTTTTATTTAAGGAATATGGATGTGGGATTCTTTTCCTTTTTCAATTACAACGTGTCCGGGATTCTTCTGCACTAGCTGGGGCAGATTATCATAGAGGCAGGGGCAGGGGCAGATTATCATAGAGGCAGGGGCAGGGGCAGAGCCTGGGTAGCTCACAAGTTTTCTTAGCTCAAGAGTGTCCTCTTCTGTTGCTACAGGGAAGTGCAGTTTTCTTTAATAAGTGACCAGTTTTTACTGCTATTGATACCTTTTCATCAGTCTTGTTTCTCTGGGGCCCAGTTTCAGCTGGTTTCTTCTTTCACTTAATTACTACATCTCCAAAGTACACCTTGCCCTTGCAAAACACAGGGTGCATTTTCAAGGCCACTGCCTCCAGTCCTGCGTCCCTCACCCCCGCACCCAACCCCTCCATTCACTTTCCGGGTAGCCCGTGCTCCGACCCTCCGGGCCTCACGCCTGGCCTGAGAATTGCCCTGTTCGGTGGGCCACACCTGGACCACAACCGGTCAGGGCAAACAAGACAGGTCTTAACCCACGGAGCACCCTGGGAGGCCATCGGAGCAGGCACAGGTGCTGCTGGCATCTCAGGAGGTGGCTGTGCTCCCCCAGGAGAAGGGGGAGGGTGCTTTCACTAACTAAAAATGAGTAGGGGAGGAGGCGTTCTGCTGAATAGAGCTGTGAACAGAACAGATGACAGAAAAACAGAGATCAAGCTGGTAAATTCAGTGAGAAAACCAATGGCGTTCAGTGACGACAGAGACGAGGAAGGTGAACCTCAGCCAGGAGCCAGACGGGGCAGAGGCTGCAGAACGAGCTGGGAGGCGTCCCTGTTCTCAGAACCGGACGTCGCTTCAGGAAAACTGCGGAGGAGACACTGCGATACCTCGGTGGCCGCCACAGGGAACGGGAAGGGCGAGACCAAAGGTGTAACGAAGCCAGGAACAGGGGCCCGGTTTTCCTGGGGATCAGACTGCCAGGTGCCGCCTGCGGTGGCGCTTTGAAGCGGAGGTGAGGGTGCTGTCTTGTGAGATAAAAGAGATCAGGCTGAGGGGGCTCCTAATTCCATATGCTCAGTTTTTAAAACACGTGTTCCTACAGCTTTGATGCGCGCCAGCTTCCTGGTTGACCCGGGGAGGCTGTGTCCCGAACAAAGGGGATGCAAAGCTGTCTTCGCTCCCACTCGTGGATCTGATTAGGTGCGTGGCCCGGTCTCTGGGAAGGTGGTCACAGGCCTTCGGGCAGGAGTCACTTCCTGACACGTGCTCATCCTGATACTGTCAATCACCTGACAACCTTACATCCCCCAGAGCTCTCCTCTGTCGTTTTAAACGACACAAAGATGACATTTTATTGTCAAATTTGTTCACAGGCATGACTCACGTTCTGCTATCTAGTGCTTGAGGAAATCATTCAAAACTCAGCAATACTGCCGGTTTGACTAAAAAAAGTTATTTTCCATATCCGCAAAAATGTTAATCAGATTCTTGCTAGGACATGTGTAAGAAGTGGTTTTCATTGTCACAGCTCTTGATGTCAGATTACTAAAATAATTTATGTTTTGTCGTGGGAACACGGGGGTGCGCAGAGCCCCCCACAGCACACGGCCGCTCTCAGCCCCCAGGTCCTCACAACACACAGCGATTATTCGTGTTTTGTGGTAACAAGTGAATGGCAGGAGCAGCAGAATTTCAATGCGGCTGTTCTTTATTTGATTAAATATATTCTCTATTTATTCTTTAAAAAACTAATTTAAGTTAAACGGCAATAAACCATGATAATTTAGAAAACATGTTGAAACCGAGAGTGAAGAGAAATGTGCTCTCTGTAAACCACACTGTAAACCATGAAACGTATCTTCGTCAACTGCTTCTCATGGCAGCGGCCGGGGACTTGGCGCCTCCTCCACAGTAGGCGAGAACCACGCAGGGTGCACACACCACAGTGCATCCCCACTTGCATTTCCAGCTGGAGGCCTCGCAGCCCGAGTGCTGGGTGCGGTGTGCACACTCCCGCCAGGAGCCGCAGGTCACACAGGCGTCACCCTCAACTGGGGCATTTCCCGCGGCCAGGCCCTGCTGGTGCCCCCCCCCCGCCCCCCTCCCCGCTACAGGAAGCGCATCAGGCTTTGCTCCCCAGACCCAGGGGGCAGTGAGCTGCTCAGAGCACACTGGCCAGCACAGGACAGGAGAAACTGCCCTCGGACAGGTCAGCAGCCCAACGGGAGCGTCCACAGGAGGGCGCCCCACGCCACACGCGGTTCGTGTGCCAATGGGGCGGTTCGGCCACTTGGGAAAATGAGGTTTGTTGGAGAATACGGTGAAACTGGAAAAGCGGTCTTTAGTGATCCGTCGAGGTGCACATGAAGGGGACAGAACAAGGCTATTCCCCCAATCTTATCGGGGGTGCACATTCCACACCGCTGATCAGGTCTCAGAAGTTTTCTAAGAAACCCCTGCTCCGACTACACTTAAGGAGTCAGCACAATCCGGTCCTCCCCGCAACAGAAAGGGTATTTAGTTTGGGATGTAACGTTTTAAAACAGTAATACAAACCTCCTGGGAGAATACCACAATAAATGTCTCAGAAACCACTTGGTTAATCCCAGGGTACGGCCCGGCTGTTTCGAGTTACTGCGGGGGCTCTGATGGGCCTTAATGACGGTGTCGCTGCATGAAAGCCAGAGAAAGCTGGAAGGAGAGGCCAAGAGGATGAGCTCAGAGCCAGCTGAAGTGGCAACAGACACGGGACTGTTTACTAGGCTTGGAGAGGCTCGGGCCACAGATGTCTGTGGTCTCTCGAAGGTTCCGGAGGAATGAGTTACAGTGGGGACTCGCAGAGGCTGAGGAGAGCATGACTCCTCTTGGGGACGGAAGTCCCCAGACAGGGAGGCCCGGTGGCAGAAGCAGAACTTGGAGATTTCCGAGGCCGGCCCCCCGAGGCGCACCAGCACACGGACGCCGTGCGGATGCCGCTTCAAAGCCCCCCGGAGACGGGGGTCGCCTCTGAAGCCACTAGAGCACAGATGGCTCAAACCATAGGCAGATATTCATACTTGCATTTTTGCATTGTAGCTGCTTTTTTTTCTCTGCTGAACTGTAATAAATTGTCTCATAATCTATTCCATCTTCTTGCCATTAGCGAGCTTTGAATGTTCACAAATAGGAGCAAAGAACTCATTTTCCAGAGCTTTAATCACACAAAGAGGGAATGCCTAATTCTCTAAATGAAATGGTCTGTGATCACTGAAGCAGAGATTTAATATATCACGGCAAATTAGGTAGATTTTAATAAATTACTTATCTCCCTGAATACTTTACATATGCTTAGGAAGGAACATAGCCTGTTTGCAAACAGTGAAAACCCACAGCCTATAAAAATCCTTTGAAGAAAACGACAAATAAAAAAGTAAATTAAAAAATGAAATGCGTTATAGCCCAGACCTCTAGAGACAATTCCTTCTCAGTGCTGATTCACGGCTCCATTAAAAAGATCAATTAAATCCTTCGGCGAGATCCGGCAAAAGCTAGAAAATTAACTTTCTGAGTGGCTTTTTGAGGATCTGGTTATCCAGATACACCCAGCATTGTACGAGCCTGATGTACATTTAAAAAATGATAGAAAGATACTCCTTTCGGGTCTAACGGAGCATGTCGTCTTGAGCCATGCTTTTAGCAAGTTCTTTCTCTGTCCAAAGCTCAGTTTCTGAAGTATGAAGTTGGCATATGCTTGTAACCTGTCTCCCCTTTACACACCGTCCCCACATTCCTGGCCCCTATTATCCACATCACCATCCCGAATCCACCAAGATAGTGCCAACAGGAAGAACTGCAATTTTGAAGGAGGAAAAAACCAGAAAACTTGCAGTAATTTAGTAAGTTGGTGCCAAGTCTCATTCTTTATATTTAATTGATAGCAACTGCAGGCATCAGTGAAAATGCACACTGAGCTGTGATGTGCATAAAATGGATATTAGCACTTTAAAGAGGAGGATTAACACATTAATCCAAGTAATTTTCATATATTGCTTCTAATAAAATCTTCACAGTATAAAACTCCTAATGAGGCTAATCATAGGCATTCCACTTACTGGGAAGACGAGGGATAACACAAAAGTATTTCCTTTTCATGGGTTTTCGAAGATGTGTGCTGTCGGCTTATTAAAAATAGAAATGGGACTTGCATTTCAGTGCTTCCTAAGAAAGTGTTGCCAGTGCGAGTGGACTTCCTTATGCCACCTGGCAGGTGTAAATGACGGAGCAGGTGTTCCCTGCGTGGGGACCTGGAATCCTGAGGGATGGCGGGCGAGGGAAGGCGGGGACAAAACACACAGGTGAACGAGTACACAAAACAGGAGCGTTTCAGCCCCGGGGCCCCCCCCTGCTCCCCACGACCTGCAGATGCTGTGCACCGGAGTAACCACACACTGCTCGTCCGAGGGCTGTCGTGGGGGCGTTTACTCAGGGGCAGGAGCCTCCAAGTCGTCTCTGTACTGCTCGTGCACGGACTGGAGGGCCTGCAGCGCCTCGACCGTCACCCGGAGCTGGCCGATTCTCCCGCCGCCCGTGCGGGCGTCTAGCACTAGGGAGAGAAGAGCAGAAGAACGTTCCCATCATTCGACCGATTTTTATTCAGGCAGGGTGGCTGAAACAGTAGTTACAAAGATGAAAGTACTTTTACAATAGCCCAACGTCCGCTGGCATCTCAGAAACCTAAATAGTGGAGCTGCCTCGTGTGTACGCAGACACGCCTTTTAGATGTGTTGCGTGTTTGGGCATGTTTTGCTCAAGGAGCTAGAGCTAATGACGTCTGCCTGGTGGCAAGGCCACAGGATCCCCACCCCCACACCGAGTCTGCGTTTCCAAGCTAGAGAGAAGGGTGTGTCTGGAAGGGACCGAGACACAACAGGGAAGACTTCGCTCTAACTACTGCGAAGAAGTGACCGGGTCCTAACTGGGACCAGTGACTGTCTTCCTAAGGAGAGCGTCGCATTCAGTGTGAAAGCAGGAAAAGCAAAAACGGCACAGTCGGGAGGAGTGAGGTCTGCGGACGGGCTCTGGGGTCCAGGACCAACGCTGCAGGGGAGCAGAGCGGAGATGCTGACTGTGGGGGCTGCCCTGGGGGGCCGCTGCCTCCAGTGGCGGACCAGAGGGGGCTGCCGGACGACAGCGCCGGGCCCTCTGCGCCCTGTGGGCGGCAGGCGGCACCCGGACTCGGAACCTGCAATGCGCCTCTGCGCACACAGAATCCTGGACTCCTTGAGTCTGATAGCATTTGTGAGTCTGTGTGGTTTCCGGTTCGTGTTCCTTGTGGTTTTACTTGAGCTTTTAAACATGTAGGGGTGTGTGTGTGTGTGCGTGTGTGTGTGTGTGAGTGAGAGAGAGAGAACCTCCCAACAGAGCTTGGGACACAGAGACTCGGGTGGAGGCAGGAGCAGGCAGGGGCGCTGCAGGGCTCCGGGCCGTGCACCCCGATCCTAGACAGACCAGTTCCCAGCACCGGGTGACGGCGGCCGTGGAGGCCGGACCACGGGGCCCCTGCGGCCTTAGACAACGAACGAGAAGGTGGGCTGCTGACCAGAACTGCCTGGAGAAAAGGTTACGGCGAAAAGCACATGATTTTGGTTATTTTTGTCAGACCCTCTTGGTCCTGGGTATCGGTGGTTCAGGTTAGTACTTTAATTCTTTCACCTTTTTCTTCTGCGCTGCCAGACAAAGTTCTGACCAACTGTCTTGTAATTAGATGTGCCTAGTTTATCAAAATTTCTCAGGACAGGTTCCTAATTTGGTTATTTGATCTACTTTGATTACTTACTTGGCTTGATCATGACTTTTGAGCACTTTTCTAAGAAAGATTTTTTATTTATTTTTACAGAGAGGGGATGGGAGGGAGAAAAAGTGGGAGAGAAACGTTGATGTGCCAGAGAAGCATCAATCAGTTGCCTCTTGTGCGCCCACAACTGGGACCTGGCCTGCAACCCAGGCATATGCCCTGGGTGGGAATCGAACCAATGACCTTGTGGTCTCCAGGACGTCGCCCAACCCTCTGAGCCCCACCAGCCAGGGCTTGGCTTTTGAGCACTTGACACACACGGGCCGAGCAGCCTGACATATGACCCATGGCTGGGCCGTGTGCCTGGCACTTAGATGCCTAGTTAGTTGTCATTTAATGCACAGATAGATGAGTAAACTGACATGTGCATTTTCCCAGAGATGGCTCTGCTAACTTAACAAATGACCGTGGGACTTGGCCTCCTTCGTCCACATACTGTGGAGCGGTCAGGCCACCCTGGTAACGATTCCTGGAAGTCTGATTCCTAAAGAACAATTTCTTCAGCGTGTTCCACATACGTCCTCCCAGAAGCGAGGGCAGAAGTTAAGCCTCGCTGGGCCTCACGCCCAGTGAGATCCAGCAGAGCGCAGGGGTCAGGGGTCTCCGCCCTCCCTGGGTCCGGGGGCAACAGGTGACCACTGGGACTCTGTCGCCCAGCTGCACCTCTGAACTGAAGGGAAACCTTGCAAAGGCCCCGAAACGCCCCTGGGGGGACAGGCCTTGGCCAAAAGACGGCTGACAGCAAGAGGCTCCCATAAACAACACGAAGACGCCCAGTGGCTCAATTTGTCACATGCCCCCCCCCCCCCAGTAAGTACCAAATCATTCCTTGTGAAACATAACTAATTATTTTTCAATTTCTGTTGATTCAAAGGAAGGCGACTCACGGCCCCTCGCAGCCAGCAAGAGAAGGTTTTAGTCAAGAGTCTGGGTTTCAGCAACCGCTGCCCGCACAGATGGAGCCCGGCCCATACCGTCGATGTCTTGCTCCACGATGTCTCTCCCTTCCCGAAACGCCTCCGCGAGGTCGATGTTCGCGATGCCCACGTCCTCGCACTCCAGCTCCTGCTCATCCTCCGGCGGGTCGCTGACCACAGTGAAGCGGATGCTGGGGAGGAAAGAGACGCAGAAATTCACCGGGACGCAAAACTCCCCGAAGGGCTTTTATCACTGCAGGTGAAATCTTGAAATTCCCAATTATTCCAATAAAAAGAAAAGGGTATTAGGCCAGATAAGTAGTTATATGAACCACCAGAATTATCAGAGCGCACCACGCCTGTGAATGGACGGTAATCCGGTTTTCTCGGCCTCGGTGATGGGCACCTCTCCGACCTGAAGGTGTTATGAGGCAGGGACGGAGCAGATGCTCACCCCGTCACACACCGTCTGGTGGCCCTGTGACACTTGTAAGGCTAAGAGGAGCCAGTGGACAAGGACCATGAGGTTGGGGCAGCCTTTTCGATGAAAACACAATCTCTTCTACAGAAATGCACAGCTTCGGAGCTGCTGAGAAGCAGTTCCACGGGCCGCGCGTGTTCTACGAGGCGGTGAGGGCGGGCTTCCTGACCCGGGGCAGACGCGTGTCGTAGCCCCGCCCGGCAGAAACAGGAGGTGTTTGTTCGACTTTAGCAGGTCTCTCAACACACAAGCAGTGTCCGAGTTTCGTTTTACTTTCAGACACGAGCCGTGGGGCTCGCCCGAGCTGATGTGAGTTAGTGACGTGTGTGGTGGCCAGACTCACTTGGACGAACTACAGGACAGGAATTTGCAGCGAAGCTCTTTGGATGTGTCTTGGCACTGCAGCACGGACCACGGATGCTTGTAAACTGCAATTTTACCCATTTTCAAAACGTACCCATCCCACATCAGAGGTGAAAAAAGAAGCTTGTTTCTTGGGTAACCTTCTCAGATAAAAACCTCAGTGTCTGGGCCTTGGAAAATATGCATAAATCGTATCCTTCCCAAACACATAGGTAAACACGACGATACTTTAAACTAATTTGCTGAAAATAAGTATTCAGCACTTCACTCCATTACTAAGTCCCCGTGAGGACACAGAAGTCCCTTCTCTGCAGTCAAAGGTAGTAGCTGTTCACAGAGGAATTGTGAAGGGTGCAGGGCGAATATTTAGTATGACACATAAAATACTATGACCTCACACAAATATTTTTTAAAGTCTCATTTCCATGTGTGACCTCCCTTTTAAAGTGACGGTTGTGTATCTGTGAGTGTCGCGTGGGGCAGGAGGCAAAGGTCCTTTGTGGAACTCACTGCACAGCGCGTGTCACCCCGCACACGCCAGGGCCCAGGGCCCAGACCTCTCTGGCTGTGGCCCGGGAGGGCTGCCGTCTGGGAGCGCGCACCCTCCTACACCAGGACGGGCTCAGGCAGTGGGGCCTCTGAGCATTTTGCTGGAATAACAACTGTCTTCTGGCCGTGGGAAAGGTCCATGTAAACCCCTTATTTTTTCCTTAAGAAAGTAACCCTGGCAAGGGAGGGAAGGGGCATCCTCTCCCGTGGCAGTCCCAGGAGCACACTGACGAGGTGTCGTCAGTCCGGACTCGGTCACTTGGCACCTGCCATCCCTCTCTCAGGGCGTCTCAAGGACAGGGGCCCTTGCGTCTCTGTGGCCAGTCAGAGATTTCTAGAGAAACAATGATGACTAAGAGGGAGTCTCTACAGTTACCTTGGACTATTTGTTTTGGAAAATAGTTTCCGTTAAAATATGCTATTTATGGAGAAATGAGTGAGTTTACTTTTATAGTATTTTAAAGTATTCTCCGCTTTAATTCATAAGAGGAGAATTTTGATAAAACCTACATGAATGAAAGTGATTCTGAGTCCCAGGGGCCCTCAGTGATTCTGAACGGTGCAAAGGGATTTGGGGTGCTGTGGCCTTTTTATTTTTAAAACGACTTTGGTGCAACCATGCAGATCTTTTGAGGGAAGGCAGGTTTAAAATTAAAGCTGAGTCTGTTCTTTTAAACTTAAGCACTTTTGAGGAAATGGAATTTCGCCGCCATCAAGGAGTGTGACTTCGAGTGTGCACTAACATCCTAGTGACACAGTGAATGTGGAGGTGGACAAACACGGCTGGACAGATGGGCCGGCCCAGCGCAGGGCTCAGCCCCTGTCGGAGCTCAGTCCCGGGCAGAGACGACCTGGCGCGCGGCCGCAGGGCAGCGGAGGACAGGCCTGTGCTGCGTAGTCCTTCCTGCCCCGGGAGAGCCCTGGCGGCCGGTGGAGTTTGAAGGGGCCTTGGCGGAAGCTCACGCACACAAAGGAACTGAGTAAAACTTCAGTGATTCTCCACCACCCGGGGACAAACGGCCTTGGGCCAGCTCACAGGGCGTTGGCGCAAATGATGCACACATTTCAAGGAGTTAACGAAAAGCTACTCTCCGAGCCTAAGAGCTGAGAATTCCAGTCTCCCCTCTTGAAACGGGATGAAATGCTAGGGTGGAAGCTCTTTGAAAAACAGGTCTTTAACCCTCACTTCGTGAGCCGTAGGGCAGGAAAGAGCCCGAGTCTCTCTCAGGGGCTGGGGGAAGCTCCATTTCTGAGGCAGTGAGAGGCTGAGCCATCTTCGGGCCACAAGGTTCATAGATGGAGGGTCCCCCAGACCCGCCGGCGGGGGCGCAGCTCAGGGATTCAGGGCTGGTACTGAGACTCCTCAAACTGCATGGGTGGCAGCTCACACAAATGTGTAAAGTCACTGAGATCAGGTTTTCTTGTTTTTCAAAAGTGTATATAATTTCTCTACTGAACCAGAATTGCAAAGTGTCCTGTTCAAGTTTGCCCCCCACCATGCATTAAAAAAACATCAAATGATGAATTACTATACTGTGACAGTAAAATAAATATTAGTCTGAAAGGCTGATGAGCTATTAAAATGATAATGCAAACATTACTGTTCCTTACAGGGACTGCAACTGACACTTGCTGAGAACTTAGGTGCCCGTCAGGGCCGATCTCTCCGCCGTGGGCACACTCTCTGTGACCTCTACAGCGTCCCTGTTGGCATGGTTACCGCCTCACAGACGAGGAACCTGGGGCACTGGAACTAGTCCCAGGTCAGATGCCCAGTAAGTGGTGGGGCGGGGGTTCGCACCCATGCCTTTTGGCACCAAAGGGCCCCTCCCTGCAAGCACAGGGAGGCTCCTTAGTCACATGCGAGAGGGCAGTCTTTTAGTTTTGGGGGCACTGCAGGACCGTCCGTACGGTTAGCCTGGGTGGCAGGCAGGGCGACTGCGTTTTGGGGGGGTACCCAGGGCGGTCACTCTGAGGCCTGGCTCCTGGCCCTGCGCTTTCTGCCCCCGCCGCGCTACAGATCTGCTTCCAAACCATCAGAGAAAGTAGAAGGCTGAACGGTACCTTCTGTGAGGCATGTCTTGTTTTTGCAGTATAGCTTTTAAGACGTCTCTCTTCGCTTGGTTGTTCTCTTTATCCACGTAGATCACTGTACCAAAAAGAAAAAGAAACAAGGCCACACAGGAAGTCACTGAGGAATTCGCTACATCCGCCCCCTTCTGGACCAGCACCGATGCCTGTTCCAGAGGTGCAGTCCCGGCACCGCTCGCACACCCCCCTGGGAAGGGAAGCCGCCCAGGCGGGGAGCACGCCCGCCCCTCCCCCCACCCCCAGCAGGCCCGTGACGTGGTGCCCGGTCCCTGGCAGGCTTCCGTGCACAGTCAGAAAGGACACGGGCACCATCCAAGAGGGCTGCCGCTGTCACCGCCCGTGAGCGGTGCTGGCGGTCGCGACAGGAAGCCGGGGTCTCTGCTGCATCTGAGGGGTTTACTGCGTCTCCTTTGGCCCACGAAGCGAGCGACAGCGACAGTGTGTGGCAGGGAGCCTGCCCTTCCTGACAGCCCGGTAATTTAATCCTCCTCTGCCGCCACCACCCGCAGTGAAAGAGGCCTCTGGAGCGCGGGCTGGAGGGACCGCGCAGGCTGCCGTTTGCGGAGCAACGTGGCGGAGGAAGGAGAGAGGCTTTTCAGGGGAAGTGTGCCTGGCTTCTAAGGGTGTGTACTGGCCTGCAGGGGCGCCCACCGGACCTAGCTGAGGGTGCAGACCAGAGAGGTGCGCCTCGCCCCACCAGGACGGAGCCCAAGGCCCCCGCAGCTGTGCGGAACGGCCCGTACTGGGGGAAACAGGACCTCCAAGTGTGAGCACGCCGGTTTTCGCCCTGATCACTTTTTCTCCTCTCAGCAGCCTTTCAGCCGCGTCCTAGCTTCTGAAGACACTTCTTTTTCAGATGCCACCTGGGAGGCAAAGGTGCCCCTGGGACCAGATCTCAACTCAGAGGCTGGCCCTGACCAGCAGCACACGCGACTGAAGGACCCACTGGCGGTGCCAAGGCCGGGCTCCCTGGGGAGCAGACCGCTTCATCCCAGAACGTTCCCCAGGACAGTCCTCGTTCAGTCTCACGTTCCGACGCTAGCAGATGATCTCACCACTTGGCTCCGCTGAGCAAACACTAAGTGGGGGCGGAAGACGTGCCGGCACCGAGTTGGGCGCAGGACAGCGTTAGCGATGGGAGACAACCCCAGGCCGGCAACTTTCCCCGCTGTGCCTCCGCACAGCGCCATTAGTCCTGAGTGAGTGTGCCTAAGCACGCGGGTCACCGACGTCTCCAGAGCCTGTCCCCCTCCCCTCGGCACTGCACCTCCTCCTTCCCCGGCTGGGGCCCAGGCCCTGCTGCTGTGTGAGCCCCTCGCTTGGCACGGACTGCAGCGTCAGAGCGGGTGGGACATCGTCCTCCGCTGCCCTTCCTAAAGGGAGCTCGCTTATAAACCCTGGTCCTTACATAACTCTCTTGGCTGAACACTTTGAAGAAGTTCTTTTGAGAGAACTCAGGCTACTCAATAAGCTTCTCCAAAGGTACACGAAATGAGAGCTCGGCTCTGCTGCTTGTACCAACCAGGCCTGGCCTGGGCATGTGGACACAGCCCAGGGATTCTGAAAGCTCTGGAGGGCGTGCTAAGATGCAGGCTGCTGAGTTCACCCCAGTCTCTGACTCAGCAGGACCGGGGCAGGGCCTGAGAACCTGCATTTCTTTTCTACCATTTTTCTAGGCCCTGTTGCCGGTCAGGCCCCACGCACTGCGCACTCGGGTGAGCCCAGGGTTCCTCTGCCCAGTGTTGAGTGGGGGCTGGAACTAGCCACACTGTGTTGAACACGTGGTAAGCAGAAACGCGGAGGCCACTTCTGATTAGGTCCCGGCCCTGAGGACGTCCGTTTTGTCCTCTGAAACTTGATGGGAAAAGGGTCTGCAATTCCCAAAGCGCAGACACACCCTTTCAAAAGCAACTCTGGTGGTTGAGAAACATCAGAACTCCCCAACCGTGAGCTATGTACCTTTCACTTTCATCGGAAGTCACATCTGTTCAGGACTCGCTAGAACTGGACACAAGCTCACTGAAGGCATTGGTCTCAAAGAGAGACAAGCCGGCACTCCAAGTGTCGGGACTTGAGTGGACTCTGAAAAGTCTGCCACTAAGAACACGGCCCTGGCTCCTGCCGCGGGGGAAGTGCGGACGGTTTCACTGCGAGGCGTTGACGGCCTCCATCCCAGAAAACGGCTGTGTCCGAGTGGCCCCCTCCCGTCCCTTCTTGGCCAAGTCTCTCCTCTCCTCAGCAGCCCAACCTGAAGTTCTGCTTCCTCTCGCACTCCAAGTAAAACTCCAGTCGTCCCATCAGACAGGCTCTCCGGTGCTCAGAGACGAAGGACCTCGCTCTGTGGAAATCTCGTAAAAACCCTGGGCGATGGCCTCCACCCTTTCTCTCCCCACTGTCAGTTCTCACACAACACTCTTCAGACCCACCATTAACTCTCTTTCGAACTATTTTTTTTACCTTCTCTGCAAAATTTTCAAGCCCAATAAAATATGATTGTTTTGTTTTTGCTACTATTGCCTAGCTGTGTTTTTTCAGTGTTAGTAACCCAAAGAAGATGATCTTGTTTGTGGAGGTGAAGCTGGTATGAACACCTCTTACTAGAGACTGAGCTGGGTTATGAACAATCCTGGGGACCCGTGGTCTCAACCTCCACTTTTGTGCCCCTGCCTTGGGCCTCTATGTGCAGCCCCCTTTGAATTCACGGCAGGTTCAAGCCGTAAAGCGTGGCCACCGGGCTCAGGCAGTCTCCCCACCGTGTGGTGCTCAGACAGGAGCACAGACTGACTGTCCCTCTAAACTCCCCATGAGAGTTTAAACGTGGGTTTGGAAATGAACTTACTTTCATCACAGCTGCGTGAGCTTTGGAAGATGCAAGTGTACACTGTACTGATCTTTTATATTAAGTAATGACTGAATGGTAAATCATTACAATAATTAGATTAGATTGGTTACTTATTCACTGATGATTCAGGGAGGTTCCCCTGCAATGAAGGCAGGTAAATGTAACACTTTAAAAATAAACATTCTCACTGTGTCATACTTCAGTGAAAAATAAAATAAAACCTACAAGGTTAATATTAATTATTTCTTAAGGTTGATGATGACTGAGGACTTCATTTCTCCAGCTGGAGCAGAAATAAAACAGCATTATTTTGCTTTTAAGCACAAACTACATTCCTCTCCCCTCAATTAATCTTAAAAATTCTCCATCGTCAAATCTCAATAGGTAGGAAGAGATGAGGAAAGGTGAACACCATACTGAATTCATTTCTAACAGGTCACTGACTTTCTTGTTGGTATTGTATAGCCAATTCATAGAAATGTCAGCAACTCTGAAAACACCAGTTAGACAGCAGGGTACCTTGCAGTAAAAGGTGGGAAGCCAAACACACAAAAACAGAACCAATGCCAACCAACCAACCAAGCAAAAGCCTCGCACAGACCCAGGCCACCAAGAAAAAAATGGGCAAAAATTCAGGACCTGCGAGCGTGTGTCTCTGGTCGCGCCCAAGGATGCTTTGCGCTGCTCCTTCGACAAATGGAAACATCTGCTCTGGGGCCGGGCCAAGTTTTCCAACGTACAATCAATTTCTAAAACGCAGTTTTGTTCCCAGTCCAACCAAACTTTCCACTGCTGGCCTTCACAAAGAACTATACAGAAACCAGAGGAGTCTGTCACTTTTCTTGGGAGTATCTTCATTAAAAGTAGTTGACTAAACAGTTCTTTCATTTCTAATAATATTTTGATATGGTTTACTTTTCTGGTACTTTGCAGTGAAAACATCTATAGGAAGCTTGAGAAAATATTTTTGGAAATGCGTCTGTTGTATCAAGTTGATGAAAGGAAGGAGGGATTGGACTTTTGCCCTGACCACACGACTCATTTCTCGAGTGATCACTCAACCTACCTGCCATTATAGAATTACACGTTTGAGCTGGAACGGACCTCAGAGAGCACAGTGTTCAACAGGTAAGAAAGCGGGGAACCGCACAATTTAAACATCTTGCCCGAGTCCACATAAGGTAGTGAGAACTGTGGTTACAGGGAAGAGCGGACCAGGTCTCTCGACACTCACGACTCCTGTCGTCGCTGTCCGAAGCAATAAACACGGTTCTCAACATGCCGGCTGAAAAGAAAGCGCTCACGCACATTGGTAACGGTGCCTGTTGGGGCCGTGCTGGTCCAGGGGACCTGCATGTCAATCAGCCGAGGGAGAAAGCCCTGCATTAAGAGGGAGTCTGCCCTGCTGCTGAACACGGACGTGAGGGAAGAGCTGCGTCACCAGACCATAGTCCTGAACACCTGGCACCAGGTGAGACGCGGGCATCGGTTCTAAAACACCCATGTGATCGCGTTGATCAGAAAGGTGGGGGGAAAACGAGGCCCCTGAATTGTTCAATTCCACATGATTAATAAACGACTCTATTTCCCCCCTTTGAAATGCCGTACTTTTCTATTCAATTCAACTGTGGTTCTAGGTGGCATTTTTTAAAAATGGTACACTGGGAACCATTGTTCCCCCACTGTTTTCATTTTAACTCAGCACTGTTTCACAGTTTCCTTCAATCTACTTCAATTCCTTTATCCTTATGCCCAGGGTGACTTCTCCCCACCGACTCTGACGGGCCTCGGGGGCTTTCTGGGACGAGGAGAGAATGTGCTTTCTCCAGGTCCTCGCAGCTCATCTTGAGCCGTATGCACGCACCGTGGCTGTAGTTGAAGTAGACCCACTGGCCACGCCTGGGCTTGGGCAGGGACACGGGGGTCTCCTCGGCCGGGAGGCTGTAGAACCGGCACTCCACGAAGAGCCGCCGGATGCTGTCGTCCGCAGTCACTCGGGAGTCACTGAGGCTCAGGGCTATGATCTCGATCCGAATCTTCTCTGACGTCTGTTAGAAAAAAAAACCAACACAGAAACGAATGTAGCAAATGGACAAAAAACCCTTTACTCTTTCTCACCATCGACTTTCAGTGAAACACCAAGGCCTACGGTGTCCTCTTTTGGAAAGCACTGCACGCTGCTATCTAGTTGCACGTGATCTATGGTTCCCGACAGAGGGAGGTGGGGGCGGGATGCTAAAGCCCCCGGGTTTGAAGTTAACGTGTCGGGGCCTGAGTCTCCTGGTTTACATGTGAGGCTGCAGACGCCCCACCGGTGGTCCGCCAGGAGGGGAGATTATGAGATCTTCATTTGTGCTCTCAGAATGACAAGCATCCCTTGGCCTTGTTTTACACTGTGTAAGGAAGTTCGTGTTTACCCTGCTGTTTTTTAATCTGCAGCGCCCGGGAAAGTCTGGGTTATTCGGAGATCAAAGCCTGCTGCATACTTTACAGCTACTGTGGTAATAATACACGTAGCTCTATGAATCCATATTAACTAGAGCAGAGCCTGCCCCAGTCCATTAAGTAGTTTTCAAACAAAAGAAACAAGGCTTTTTAAAATCTAATTTAATGTATGTTCTCGCAATTTTTAATTTCGTTTTCACAGAATTAACAACTAAAATATGTATTTGTTGGAGAGGGTTGTTTGCCCTTCAGTTCTTACTTAATGGACTTCAGAGTCACAGACGTTGTTTAGGGGTCACGCGTGTCTCCTTGGGAGTGATTTAAAACCAATAATAAATGATGACTCAAAGACCAGATCACGTCAAGGTGACGCCTCGGTTACATGCTGGTTTTTACAGTTTTTAATAAAGGGGGACTTCTTTATCCCACTTCATTGTACTCAGAAGCACGCTGCTTGAAACTGCGTAACTTCAAATCATGATTAGAAAATCCTGAACATTATTAGCCTTGCTTATGTGACCAACTTTTAGAAATTCACTGTTCAATATAAATCGGTGTGTAAATTTACCAGGGTGATTACTTAGATATTTCAAAGCATATAATTAACCAAATTGAAAAGCACAAGTACCCTCCTGTAAAAATATCCTCACAAAGAACAATTTCCTTTGCTGTCCAACCCCCTCAATATTTGATGAAGTAATTTTACCCCCTTCTTCCAAAAGACATTTCCTTTTATTATGTATTCTAAGACACTTTAACTAAAAACCCAAATCTGAATATTTCAATAAGGCTATTTTATTATTCAGTAGATTCATGGAAATTTTACCAGGATGACAGAGAAAATTCCACACCATTCTGTCTCCACTAATACAGGTACAAGGCTGCAGCTGGCAATATTACTAGGATTAGCATAGTATGATGAAATATTTAAAGGAAAATTTTTTCTAAAACCTAATAAATCAAATGACTGCCAAATGTCATTAAAGTGATGGTCTTTGACTTGAATGTGCTTTTCATATTCAAATGTGGAAAGGAAGAGATGAAAGCCTGGGAAGGTTACTCGGTTTCCACTAATAACCTCAAGCCCTCTCTGCTCACGAGCAGAGAGAATGAGGTGGGCTGCGGTCCCCTCTCACTTCACAAGGCCCCCCTCTGCGTGCGGAGGGCTGACATGGTGAAGAAAACGCCTGAAAGGGTGCTGTGTTTTCCCTAAAATGCACTCTCGCTGTAAAAACACTGCGCACAAACACACCGACACTTCCGGTTCAAATACAGCGCGATGCACACAGTTCGGTCTTTTACGTAACTTGTACTTTGACAAACTTAGAAGTGTTGTAATAATATGTCTCACAAAACCTTCCTGCTTCTGCACAAAAGAATTTTTAAAAAGCCATAAAAAGGCCAAAGAGATCTACATGGTTGTTTTTGTACTGTGAAGATAAGCATTTGAGATTGTTTATCAAAGAACCCAAATGAAGAGATCGATGAACTTTAAATAGCAGAGGAATCAAATTTATTTAAGGCCTATTTTATCAATAATATATCAACTGTATGATCTCCAAGTGAAAACTTGCATTATTACGAATTTAGGCTGTCAAATACGATGATTTCCAAAAGTAATTCCAACTAAAAGGAGGTACCTGGATCACAGGTAAACAAACCAACAAACCAAGAAAAACCCACCATATTATTCAATGAAATCAAAGAGCTTAAAAATTCTTTTTATGATTCCTGTCTTCCTTCTGGTCCTGTTTTGTCTTTTCTTTTTTAAATTTCCTCCCCTAGCTGTATTAATTCTATCATGTGTCCTTTTTAATTCTCTGATATTACTGACAGAAGTTATTAGTTATCATTTCTTTGTTCCTTTGATGATACATGAAGCAACTAAAAATAAATTCCAAACAGATATGTTTCAAATAGTATAGACCTAGGGAGGCATGCTCTGAGTAAAAAATTTTCCAAACATTGTGAATTTTGGCCAACGGGGCTAGCCAACTTATTTCTCAACATCGGAACAATGCTGGTTGTATTCCTCCCCCGTGGGTCAAAGTTCAAGTAGATTCTATGCGAAGCTTTTGAAGAGTAAGAGGTGAATCGGCAGCATGACAGACAACTTGGACTTAGTGTGAGATACGAACCGTCCTCTCGCCTCCCCTCTCCTGTCTCCTTTGTCCTGTTTCCTGTCTCAAGTGATGAGATCACCGTCACTGCTACCAGGAGGCCCTGAGCCACTCCAGCCCTCCCCACTTCTCATGCCCACCCCGCGCCATAGCTCACCCATTCCTGTGCATCTTACCTTCTGAATATCTCAGTGACTCATTGGAGGATAAAAGGCTTAGGATATTCCCAACACTGTGTCAGCGACTGGGGATACAAAGACTAGACAAGATGCGGTTTCTTTTCTCAGTTTCATCTCTAGAGAAAGTTCTTTAGGTTCTCATCTGATCTGAGGGGGAAGGAACACGGCAGCTTCCTAGCATTAGAAAGTTGAAATGGGATAGCATAAGGAGGGAGAAAGCAGCGGGTGTCGTAAAAGACCAGTGTGGTCGGCAGAGTTATGGGCAGACAGACGGCGTACAACCCATCAGCTCGGCGGCACCGGGATGACCAACCCTCTTGCTCACTGTGGCACCAGTGTGGCAGGCAGCACACACTCGATGAACACGTGGGCCCGTGCCCGTGGCTGGCAGAGAGGGAGGCTCCCTGCTCCTACCCCCTTGCCTGCAGCCCCCCCCCATATTCTCGGGGCAGAATTCTTCCCAGAAAACAAATCAGACATCACCTCTCTGCTTCCTTCCTATCACCTGACAGCCCGGCTGGTTCCCCAGACCTGAGGGGTGCTGCTGCCGTCGCTCAGCCTTTGCATCTGAAATCTCCCGCAGACAAAATTCCACCAGTCTGAGGCCCTGGGCCTCACGTACTCTCCTTTGACGGGCATGTCCCGGATCTCCAAGAGCCCGCTGGTTCCCCTCGGGGTCCTCCCCGCGCTGTGTGGTCACAAGGCACTACACGGATTTGCTTACGTAGCTGCCTCCCTCTGCATCCTGTGACCTCTCGGAGGCTGGGCCCATCTTGCTCATCGTCGGCTCTTTATCCCCCCGCCAGGAGCTGACTCAATGATAAGGAGTCAAGAAAGGCTGAATACCTTCCACGTACCCAAAATATCTTTTACAGATTGCCAGACATATGTGAAGCTGCAGGTATTAGTGTTTCCTTCTTTAATAAATACCTACTCTGTCTAGCATGTTTTGGGAACTGGGCGATTATTCACTGTTGAAAAATACACAACAAAATATAAAAAATATACAAAAGCAGTGAGTATTCACTGCCGTTCTAGGTTATAATTGGGTAAGAGTATCTCGGACAGGCCAATGCTGTGGAATCCAGGTGGCAGGATAGTACTGTGCAACTCTTCCCTATGTCTGAAATTTTTCATAGTAAAAAAAGAACAATGTTCAAGTAGGAGACCTGGGAAGGGAAACAATATGCCGATTTGAACCGCAGTGACCGAAGCAAAGCCTTTCAGACAGGTGTGGAACCCCACCTGTCCGGAAGCCCCCGCCGGGCAAGGCCCCGGGTCAGAGCTGTGCAGGGCATCCGTCGGGTGCAGCGTGCCAGCCAGACGGCTCGGCTTCGGGCTTCCCCGTTTTGTTTCTTCGCTCAGGGGGTGAACCTCTGGGACGAGGCCCACCGCTGCCTCTCAGGACCCTCTCGTTTGCCAGCCGTCCTGTGAGCGCCCCTGGTTAGTGAGGCGTCAGCATCAGCGTGCAGAGCAGCACGTGAAAGCCCTGACTGTGACGGACGGAAGCGGTGGAGGTCGCTGGTACAGGAACGCGTGCAGCCTGCTCGAGCTGTCTGCAGAGGTGGAACTCCAGATTATGTGACGGACTGATCCAGAAACGTGATGAGCATTGGGATTACTCTCCGAGAAAAAAGGGTTTCGGTTCTCGTGACTTTGGCTCGGTTCCACCGTTGCTCTCTGACTGATGCTCACTCACATGTCAGGCCGGATTGTTCTGCAGTATTTACTTGGGCTTTTATTAGCATCCTTAAACGTTTTATGTTTTACTTCAGGGGATCGTGCTGAATCCTTCCTCTAGTTTCAACCATGAGAGCAGCCCCACTGAGGCTGGACGGCGAGCTCAGCGAGGCTTCTTCTTTTTTTTTTTTAAATTTTTTTATCTTTAGAGGGGAAGGAGAGAGGGAGAGAAACATCAATGTATGGTTGCCTCTAGTGCATCCCCTGCAGGGAAGTGGCCTGCAGGGAACCTGCCTGCAACCCAGGCATGTGCCCTGACTGGGAATCGAACCACGACCCTCTGGTTCATAGGCCCGCGCTCAATCCACTGAGCTACACCAGCCAGGGCTTGACAGTGAGGCTTCTGAACACGAACTGGACGAGGCGGCCCTTGAACACGGCTGCTCCCCCGACAGCTGCCTACGGGTCGGCGCTGGCGACGCGTCTCCCTTGGTGAGACTTCAGCCCGACTGCGGGGAGGTCCCATGTGAGTTCCATTTCACTCTGAATTTCTACGGCGACGAGACGTTTAACTTTTTAAGTTACAAAGTATAGAAAATAATTTGGCATATTCAAGGTCTCGGC